GTTGGAGGCAAACACCTTGGGGTTGGGGTTTAATGGGATTATACTGGGATAATGGAAAAGAAAATGGAAGCTACTGTGTTACAATCGGGATATATTGGGGTTATATGGGTATGCTGTGTTTTTTGAGGATGGGCTTGGGGCTGGGGTTTGGGGTTCCATGAAGACACGCACGCACGGTTCTGGTGGTTTTCGAGCAGAGTTTGGACAAGGCTCTCTACCGCCTTCAATGCAGGGTACATACTTGTGATTCATTAACTGCACTTGTGCTTATATCTGAAAACCAAATCACAAGCCTCCTTGTCATCGGGTTACAACCGCAGTTATGAACCCCAAACCCTAAACCCACAAGGCCAGCAAAAGCTAGGAACATACCTGAAAGGATGTAAAGTTAGATTTGCTGATACGGGCTGCCAACACGATGGACACGCCAATATTCCCCAGGAACCCTGTATACTTGCATCATCTTGCATCCAAAAGCATAATCAAAACCTTAGCTCCCCGCTGACCCTGTTGAATAATACCCTCAAGCTCGGCATGTTGAACCTTCCCCACATCTACAACGGCTCTTCATTGGGAATATTTGCTATTTCATTACTGGGTTCTTGTTATCAGGGAAGAGGAGGTGATTTCCAAGTCAACAGGTGTTGTGCTATCTTTGTCCTAGATCAAGAGTACGTACACCAGCTACAGAAGCAACAAATCGCCTGTACGTGCTGTATGTTCAGAGTCATGGGCCCCGCGGGTTCCAGATTTGAGGGCAGTTCATGTAAATCCCAGGCTGATGATTACGCAATGGATGGGGCCGCTGATTAGTGGTTTCATTGGTACTGTTCCTGAAGTCAGATGGTTGACGATGGTCATTTTACATAACTTCGGCACCTGAAACCCTGAGGCTATGGTAGCTTGGGGTAGGAACCAATGCCAGAGACCTCAGGGTTCGTCATACCCGACCGGGCAAGAGATGCTTTTTGATAGGAAAGAAGAGTGTAAACATGGTAGTGGTACGATGGAATTGTACACTTCCAAAAGATGATTCGGGTAGTTCATTGTCTTTTCTTGCAATCCGTGCAGGTGTAGCGCAGTTAGTTATGTTTGTGACAGCTTCCTAGTTTTCTGGGGGGACCATGACATACAAAGTCAAGAACAGGATTATTGAGGGGTAGGTCTGAACACACTTGTTTTAATTCGGTTGCCCTAAGCACGATATCATCCCTGTAAAGCCATATATGCACTTGCATAGGCCCCTTACCCCAGAAGTGTGGTTCCCGAATTTGAGTTCCTTACTGGACCCACCACTAGCCCCAGCCAGACCACTTGGCAGACGAGAGAAAGTCTTGGAACCTTGAACACCTCATCTTTCAGCAGCCATTCTTGACCGTATGGGAATTGGGGGTTATGGACAACATGCACCCCAGTTCGGATTACAAGAATGAGTACTAGTATTTGTCTGATGTTACAAGCAGCCCCAACCACGCCACAGAGGGGAGCAAAGGGAAGGAACGGAAGTTTCCATGGTGCGTCAGAATCTCCATGTTAGCACGGAGCTAAAGATCGAAACAGAGATTGCGCTTGACACGGATTTGTAAGCATATGTATACAAACTTCAAATTCTTTCCCCCACGAAAAGCAAGTTGAACAAAAAGCAACACCGCATCATGGGAGACCCTCACAGTTATGTAACATCGAATGAAAAGCGCTTGGTTGATCTGCGGTTGTAGCACCTCATGTAAGCCCTACAAGAATCCCAAAAAGGAAACCCTAAACCCAGCCCTGAACCGCTACAAGTAGGGCTTTCGAATGTGGTTGTGGTATACGAGGCGGCAGCACCTTGCCCTCCGGTGCGGTTGGGGTTAGGTGGATTAGGGCTTAAACCCGGGTTTAGGGTTTAGCGTTGCGGTTTAGGTTAGGTGGATCCCCCTCCCTGCAATGGCGGCCTCAGCCAACCCGAGCGCTCTAAGGTGGTTTAAGCAAATACTCATCCCAAAATGGCCGTGCTTCTGGATTTGGACGTGTTTTTGTGTTTCTTTTTATACTACACTTGGCCAGTATGTACCCAGATTCGTTGTCAAGGGGGCCAGCAGAAGCCAGAACCCCAAGGTCAGCCTCCACAACCTAGCTTACTTGGGGGTTATAAGGGAATACAGCCTACATGAGAACTACCAGTACTAGTGGTGGTAGTAGTAGTAGTAGTAGTAGCAGAAGTAGTAATAGGGTCAGGAGTAGTCACAGGTAAGGCTTCTACTGTTTGATTATAATTTGGCGCTTGGCTCCTGAGACCCTTCAAGGCCCAATTTAACGCCCCCCCAGAAATCCCCTTCGAGCCCTCAATGCGGCAGGGAGAGAATGGCTGGGCAGCGATGCAGCGGCTGCCCCTTAACGGCGTTCAGGACTTAGGGTTTAGGGATGTAAGGTTTCAGGGGTGTGGGCTTTTGTTTTTTGGGGTCTACGGTCTAGAATTTGATTGTTAAGAGCAGTAGCGTTTTGTTTAAGAACTACATGCGTCTACCAAGAAAAGAGCCAACTCATAAGGTAAATGTTCTTCCTGAAAAGCGGTCTCTGCAGGGTTTAGGGGTTCAGCGTATATCTATACGGAAATTTGCGTCAGTTTCTGTTCATGTATTGCTTGAAAATGACACCGTGATTTCTACACCCTTGAAGTTACATGACAGAAAGCTTCCTTGGCCACCGAAATCCCCCAAAAAAACAGTTCGGAGGGCCGTGCTCAAAGCCGGTTTGTATGGGCCACGCGTGAGCTGAGGTTCACCAAGACTTGCGGTGTACAGACCGATGACACGCGGCCGATAGAGGTTCTGCGGGTGTCAGGGTTTTTGGGGCTTGTAGTGGAGTTGCTGCAATCACTATTTCCGGCCTAATCTTAGCATGTCAAAGAAGCAACCGAAACAGTTCCTTACATGTAGAGTGACATATGAGCTCATATACATATATATATATATATCTCTCTCTCTCTCTCTCTCTGGTATTATGGGGTCATGTAAAGTTTGGGGGTTGGGGGCTAAGATGCCGCCGGAAAGCCCGTACCACTTGCATACCCGACACTCATACCCTCACGTTACGGCTGATCTACGGTTAGAAGTAGGGGCCTCTATCATCGCCCTTTCTTAGGACTATGCAGTCCAGTGCTGAGGACTTAGGTTCTTGTGGCTGGGGAAATGGTTCAGAGGATTGATCGGGGAGAGTACATAGTCATCGTTCTAGGCGTTGCTCTAGGATTATTCAACTGGGCCTGTCTGAATCTCCGAGACAGGCTCGCATTGCAGATGCTCAGCGCGAGGAACCTCGGCTTAGGGATTAGTGGATCGGGTGACGGTTTCGGGTTGAAGGCGTTTCGCATAGGAATTCTGATCCTACCTCACAAGCTTCTGCTAAAGTTGGGCTCACTTTTGCATGGGCATACTCTTTTACTTTACCTCTACTCTAACACAGAATCTGCATGTTGTATATCGGTGCCCTCTTTGGTGGCAAGGTCTTGTGGCCAAAAGCAATCTTGGTGTCTGAAGCTTCAAGACGAAATTTTCAAAGTTCTCACATGGAGGAGCCAAAAGATCCTCACCACCTCTCGTCAGGTGTAAAAGGCAAAGCCATTCGGATTCTTACTATCCCCTTCCCAACACGTTTGAGGGTACAATCATGAAGGGTCCACTGAAAATGGCATGGGAAGACATGCATCAAATGGGGTCCGACATTGACATGCGTACTGGCTACTAGTATTCAACAAGACGCCACCAAAACCTTGAAAACCAAACTTCTGAATAATTGCATTCACCCTCTAATTTGACGCTTACTTCCCTAGTGCAAAGCCCCGTGAGGTATTGGAGGGTTGCTGGTCTAGGGCACCCCTTAAATCTTTCACAAAGAAGTCCGGCACACTGACGCTAAAGCCTCAACCCAGAAATCCTGCCTGGTGGTTTCTGTCTAGTTTTGCAGCTCTCCGCCCTCAGCTTCAACAGAACTATCCGTTTCATATCCCAGGCCGCCCGCCGCGCACTGAAGGAGGGCCGCGTTGATTAGCCCCAAAATGCAATCATTACACCATATTCTGGCTCTAAGGACCATCCAAAAATTATCCCCAAATTTGAGGGAGAAACGCCCATGTCTGTCGGCTGTAGTGCTACTCGCAGGCCGCATGCAAGAGCGTTGCAACATGGGGGGCGTCGGCGTGTGTTACCAAGCATTCAATAAATTCAGGACTTACCCAGAAAGCCAGTAGCCCACAATTATGGTCTACTTCACCCTTGTCCTACTACCCCGGCCGTTCTGTGTGGGGATTAGTGGGGGATTCTCGAAATCATGGCTTAACTTGGTGGGTCCACAACCACACCCAAGTATTGTCCTCAATATGTAAACTGTCTCTGAAAGAAAGTAACCCCTTAATCAACACCTTTACGAGAACCAGAGTGCCCTGGGCTATGCGTGCTAGCAAACCAAGTTTTGCAAGTTCTTTTGGGCTAACCGACGTTTGATGGGAACTGTCGTACTGGCGAATCATGAAGGGGTCCAGCACAGCACTGCTCAACTTGTAAAGGCTCATTGATGCGTTGGCAGCAGCAAGCAGCTTCGGTAATAGTCCACGTAGCAATTCTGAAGGAGGGCCGCATGATCCCCTTTCGCTGCCACGTTGATTGTCTGTCCGCAGCGTTTTTGTGTGGGTCCGCTTCCCCAGCGTGAGCGCAGCATCCGCGCTCATGGGCAGAGTCCTCAACATATCGGTATGCTAAGTGTGTATTGGAGATCTGCAGTCATTTTCGCTTCACGTTTCGACAGGGTTTGTTCGATGTTTTGCACATGGAGTTGTCACAGCAGCCTCGCATGAGCTTGAATGCTTTAGCCTCTACAACAGTGAGATCCGCGGTCTTCCAGAAACCCGTTTGCCTCCAGCTCGCCTCCAGCCTCTAGTGTTGACGCAGATGCATTCATATGCATAGGTTTGAACTGGTTGTGACTAGCGCAAATCCTGGTGGGCGTGCTTGTATTCTTCTGAGGCAGTGAAACGGAGGAAGCTCGCCGGAGGTATCGGAATACGCAGCTTGGCTGAATAGGTGTGATTGCTGCTAGTTACTATTGCTTACGCCGTTTGCCGCACGCAGGAAGTCCCCGAGTATACAAAGCACTTTCTTTGGCTGTTCTTCCGGGTTTTGGGCCATCATGTTGTCTACTTCTGGGGCCCGATTAAACACAAATGATGATCTTTCATGAGCGCAGTTGACCACATCGCGTCGCTTCGAGAGTTGCTTCAGTATGCGGAAGACCTTGATGATATTTCTCAACAGGGGCCCTTTTCCTCAGGAATATATGGCCCGTGGTTTTTTAGCCTCAGGTAAGGCGGACAAAAGTCTTGGTCAGTGGTTTCAACTAAAGGTCTCCCCAGCTGGACACCCAATATGTACACTCAGCAACATTCCGAGGAACCTATACACTTACCAAAAACTGTGATCCATACCCTGCTGCATATTCCACATGTCGCAACGTGGTTGCTGCCGCGCCCTGCATCACTGCAAGCTCTAAGCCCTAGAGCCTTAAACTCTAAATCAAAATGTTCCCTCCAAGTCGAGCCCCGAAATTCCCATCAGACTACTTGGGAAATTGGCAAATTTACGGTCTGTTTTCAACACTTCGGCCGGGATGATATTGCGGACCCCCCACAAAGGGGCCATCTTTTTGACTGCCTATTATGCATCAGTTTAAACAGATCCCAACACTGCACCCTAAACCCTAAACCCTATGCTCAGGCTATTCGACCGAGAGGCTGGGATCTGAGAACTTGTTGTCGAAGGTTTGAAATTTGGGTCCCATTGATCATACGCTTTCCCTTATGGGTTTAGGGTTTAGGGTTCAGGGCTTAGAATTTAGGGCTAGGGTTGGGCTGAATTTTGGATTTAGAATTTAGGATTTGATTTTTAGGAATTAGGGTTAGGGTTGGGGCCACTCAGGGATTACATAGGGGTTGTATAGGCCCATATGGCGTTGTGTAGTGTGCAGGAATATTACCCAATAATAATGAAGAAGAAGAAGGATGAAATGGAAACAACGGGCGAAATCATTTACAATGATACATAGAATTTCCATTTATAGCGTTGTTTCTATATGGTTAATGAACTAAAGCCTGGTGAACTAATCCAAACAGCTAGTGACACAGAAAAAGAAGGAGTCATGATGCCCAAAAAATGTAAGGGTTGCTTCTTTAATTTAGAGTTGATAAAATCAACATATCTATACGTGTAGAATTCCGGAAAACATTCAACAACTATCTCATTTACATACTGACAGATGAGAAAGCAAACGCCCAACGCAAAGGCCGTCCCTTATTGCAGGCTAAGCTATGTAGGGGCTTACGGAATTCAGGTTAAATTGTCAGAAAGCGGATGTCTGGTAAGTAGCATGGTTTGCTTGCAGATGCTCAGTTGATAGCAGACGGATTCAGCAGCGTTCCCTACGCGTAGTCAAGCAATTGTTTCAAGGCATGTCAATAGGAGCTCCATAGGACCAAGGGCAAGAACCCAAACCCCAAACCCTAAGGTATTGGGTAGCCAGTTCAGCTTTAGGCAGACAGCGGGGTGTAACCCTTGTTGGGTGTCCCCAAAGCGAACTATAAACATTTTGGGGTTCAGGGTTTAGAGCTGCCCCCATGATCTTGCTTTCCAGCGCCGCCAGGGCTACAGCATGCACTCGGACAGGAATGTGTTTGGGGCAGGAGGGTTAAGGGTTCAATGCTCGGGGTTCTGGGTTTAGGATAGGGTGGGGTCCCCTTCCAGGCGATGGGCGCGTTGCCGTCACCAAGCAATCCTTTGATGATCATGCCTGGCACACTTTCCTAAACTAGAGGCACTTACAGCATCTTACAGCCTAAACCCCTAGTCACCAGCCAACATGCAGCCTTCCAGAAAACAGTCCAGCATGTAGGACATGATGCTCGAGCGTTCCAAAGTTATCCTTGGAAAAATCCTTATGCAATCTCAGTCACCCACTGAACCTAACATATCCCTACGAGATCCCGAAGAGCCACCCTAAACCCTGAACCCTAAGCCTTTAACCCGGCCTAGACTCCAAACCCTTAACCCTAACTGAAACCCTAGATCTTGAACCTTAAACCTCAAACTCCAGACACTAAACCCTCAACCCTAAACCTCAAAACCTAGACCCTAAACCGCGAGAAGCTTGACATCGTGTCTGATTTCTCATCCTTGTCATGCCAGGCAAAGGCAGCTGCCAGCCTTCTCGAACAGGCCGGAAGTCCTGTAGGTCCACAGAGTTTTAGGTTTAGGGTTTGGTCTGAGGTTTAGGGTTTAGGGTGTAACAGTTTGGGGTTGGTTAATATAAGGGTTGAGGTATAGCAGTTTTGGATTTAGATTTGGGCTCTGGGTTTAGGGTTTGGGGGTGCTGGATCAATGCCACCTAGAAAGCCCCATAGTATTGTAGTTTCCATGTTACATGGTATATGAGGTGGTGCAAGATTGCTACCGTCCACAGTAGGCCCCAGGTTTACTATGCTTCTATAGCTCCGTGGGGTTTATAGGTACATGAGGCATCACCTTAAACCCTAAACCCTAAACCCTAAACCCTAAACCCTAAACCCTAAACCGCGTGTGAACGTCCCGCCCTTTGATGGTGATTCGTAGATTCTGTATCCGGCTATATGCTCCATCAAGCTCTCCTAGGATCCTTCAGGCTCTCCACTCGTTCTGAGAAATTCCTAAGTAACATTAAGAATAGCAATAATAATAGTAATCATAATATCCCTATATATGCCCCATAATCCCTGTAGTTTCCATTTTCTTTTCCATTATCCCGTTATAACCTTAATATGCTATAGTAGATTCGGGACTTCATGCTGAGGGTTTCATGCTTCCAGAGGGAGAGTACCGTTGCAGTGTCTGAAGGATTCGTTGGGCTTTGCGACTGTTTTTTATTTTTGGTTTCGGGTTATTCAAGGAGCACCTCTAGCACACTCTAGCATGAGAAAACTCTGTAAAGACTTAAGACTGACTTGTGAGGCCATGCTTTCTGCTAGCTGGAGCATGGGTCTTTAGAGCATGTTCCCTGTACAGGGTGCCCAACGTAAGGGATCCGGGACGTTCGCCTTTTAAGACCCCCCCACACTAAAACGGAGCCCGAAAACGGTGCCTACACAGGCTACAGCCGCAGAAAAAGGGTCCACACCACACAGGGATGATGGCCACGATTGAGATGAAAACATGTCTGGCAGGTTCGACAATACGTCGGACGCAGTGGCAAGTGTCAGGTCACAGATTTCGAGGACGGGCATGAGGGAATATAGGAGTAATACATGGATAACATAGGGGTTCAGGGTTTGGGACTGGCTTAGGGAATATGTTAGGAGGGGTTATTTACTCAAAGAATGACTTAGGGCTTCCTCTAAAATCCTTCTGAACTCCATGGAAACGGAATAACTTGAGATTCAGGATGCTCATGTCCATCAATAGCTGCTTTAACATAGATACATTCTTTCATAAAGGCTAGACAAAAACAATATACACCTAGATGAGAACACGAAGTCCCCAATTCCTTTGGATTCCTTATCCTAGCCCCGAATGACCCCAACCCCGGCCCTAATTCACCATCAGGTGGCCCTTTTTGAAAGTAGTCTTCCCCGTTGAAAAGTAACCTTCAGGAATTTCAGGCCCCTGAACATATAACTTGATATTCGGGCTGGTTTTAAGATTAGGGGGAAGGGATCTACAGAAGAGGGGGTCTCAACAAAGCCAAATCCAAAGAGAATCTTGACCCCAGTTGGAGCAAGCCCATATCAGCTTGAAGAATCATGCTCAGATGATAATGGCTAAAGGGCTCTGCACCTTCAAGTAGCCTTCAAGGATATCCTACAAGTGGGTACAAAGGAAAAGCGCAGGCTGAATCATCCGGCAGTGATGTGGACTTCCCACAACAATCAAAGCCCTAACCCCTAAACCTTAATCGCATTTAGGGTTGAGGTATTAGGGCAGATACGGGATGTAAGGAAGAGAGAAGGGTATGACGTTCGCATTGGACCTGTACCTAATTGTTTGCATATGGGTATTTGTCTAAACTCATCAAAAGACGGGTTCCATCAACCCTAAACCCCATCTAGGGAACACCAATTTAGGCCGAGCCCCACATGCAGGCATGTGCCAGGTGCGTTCCCGTTTTCTCACTCGCACACTCAAGCCGTTGATTGTCGGCCTGTTTTATTTTGTTACGGGAAAAAATTCAATAAGCAACGATGAATCACAATGAGGACGAGCGCAAGACATACTTCCAGTAACTACTAGAGGAAAAGGAGAAGACGTACTTCCAGTGGCGAACAACATTATAATAACTATTGTCAATATTAGCACTGTTATTACTGTTGTTACTATTACTAGTATTATTGTTACTACTATTAGAATTATTCTGCACCTAGAATCTAAGTAAAGAAGGACCGATCTCCTCTGCTGCTTTGAAATCCGACGACAGGACCTTTGCACCATCCACCATGCCATCAGCAACCTGTTTGAGAGAGTCAAGAGGCGGTGCCAACCGAGTTAATACATGGGATTGTCTCAAAACATTGCATCTAAGGTCTTGAATCAGGGTTTAGGTTAAATAGCCCCTATATGTTCCACATAGAGGGCCCCTGTAATCTTCAGATATTCCCCTAGGGTGATATTCCCTAGGGTCCTAAGGGCCACACCTGTTTTGAGAAGGTTCACGTCAGCGGGGTTTAGTTCTGACAGTTTCGAGCTGCTCAAAAAGGTGGGGCCCTTGAAATAGCAGATGTGTGGGAGGATTATCGGAGTTCTGTTGTGTCTGGATTCCATACAGGGTAGGTTCTGTTGAAACTCCCATATGGCTGATCCTGGCGGAAGCTATTGGCTCCAGCTGAAGTAAGCGGAGTATCAATTGCAAACTGGACCATAGTAGTAGGTCTACTTGGAGGATTAGGGTTATCGTAACCCAAATATAACCGGTACTTATGACTCAATTATAACCATAACAGGTGGCTTAGCAGGCTCTTGTTTGGGTTAGAAGTGCAGTTTTGACTGGGTAATACTTACCTGAACCTCTAAGTAAGGATTTAGGTTTTAGCGTTAGGGACGGCATTTACCCTGCCCAGTGAAAATCCCTAAACCCTAAACCCTAAACTCTAAACCCTAAACCCTAAACTCTAAACCCTAAACCCTAAAACCCGAAACCCTAAACCCCCTTGAAAAGAGGGCTCCATTGGATCCCCTGTTAGTTTGGCGGGTAGGGGGGGGAGGGGGGGGGGTTACCCTACACCATCCTCTTCATCCTTCTAAACTGCTATAGGAACGAACCCAGGAGCGGTTTAGGGTTTAGGGTTTCTAAAGAACCCTAACAATCTAAGCCCAATACTACCTCAACCCTATCGGTGCTTAAGGGGGAGTGGGGGAGTGAATATAGGTACCACTATAGGGGTACATACGAGCTATAGTCTAGATTCCTAGTACCCTCTTAATAAGCCCTAGAATACTCCCATATAGAATCCCCTATATAGCCCATTCTAAGGAGTTTAGACTCTATATAGCTCGTATGGGGGCTGTATAAGGAGTATTTGAGGCTTCTGGCGGTCTAGGTATTAGGGGGTGGGGGTATGTGACCCTAAACCCAAAGCCTTCAGGTTAGAGGGAAGTGAAGTTGTATCAGCGCCCAAGCCACTTCAGTTTGGTCATCTGCTGTGGTTCCTAGCACTGGTTGGACATGACCGGAAAGCCTTAAAACCTAGGGTTCAGGGTTTAGGGTGTGATAAGGGGTTAGCTTTAGGGTTTAGGGTTTGGGGTTTAAGGCGATCTTCTGCTGTCCCCTGAAGTCCCATACTGTGCGCAGGCGACTAATCGTGAAATTCGCTCCCCTATATTGGGTTGCGTTTAGGAATTTAACTTAAGTTACCATAATGGATATGTATAGTAATTGATATGGCTTATATAGTAGCGTTAATTAAGTTCCTCAACCGCAACCCAGTATAAGAATGAGCCAACCCGACCACAAGAATATTGGTGGGAGTAGGGGGGGTGATGATTAGCGGAAGGGGATTAAGTGGTGTTGCATTTGGACTCCATGCTAAGCGATTAACCATAAACCCTAAACCCTAACCCTAAACCCTGAACCCTAAACCCTAAACCCTGAACCCTAAGCCCTAAACCTTCGTGCATCTGGGATACATAGCAGGAGCCCTGCTGCTGTGGGACGCTGCATGGATATGGATTAGGGTGTATGGTTTAGGGTTTAGGGTGTACGGTTTAGGGCCTAGGGTTCAGGGTTCAGGGTTTTTAGAATGGTCCATATGCGAGTTTCCATAAACAGGGGCATCCCTTCTGTTCCCCTATACCCTTACACCCCGAACCCTAAAGAACTCTTCATCCTGAATTCTAAACCTCAAGCCCAAGGCCTCAAATCCTAAATCCTCTAGCCCCATCGTTCCCCATACATCCCTAAACACCCTAGATCCCTAAATAACCCTTTGATATCTTTGTAAGATAGCTTTGAAGGGACCCTAACAGAGCCCTAGACCCTAAACCCTGAACCCTAAACCCTAAACCCGTGACGCTGAGAAACTGTGAGGGACGCGTAGTGAACGACATTTTGTCTGTAGTACCCTACCTGGTGGTAAGAACCCCGTGCTAATCTGGCAGGCATTAAAAGTCCGAGGGGTTGTAAAAGAAAGAGCCCTAAATCCTGAACCCTAAACCCTAAACCCTAAACCCTGAACCCTAAACCCTAAACCTTTGCCAGGTTTAGCAGCCTCGAGTCGATGCCTAGAGTGTACCGCAACGCCGTGAAGGCCGGCACGGGAGGTTGATGGGGGTTTTGAGGGTTTATAGTCCCCCTGAAGTAGATGGAATATGGGGTATAGGGTTTAGGGTTTAGGATTTCGGGTTTAGGATTTAGGGTTTAGGGTTTAGGGTTAGGATTTAAGGCTTAGGGTATAGTATAGTCCCCCTTAAGTAGATATAATATGGGGTATATATTTGAGGCTTTAGGGCTTTAGGGTTTGGGGTTTAAGGCACTAGGAGTTGGGGGTTTTAGGGTTAGAGTTTTCAGGTTTTGGGCTTAAGGTTTTGGGGTAGTTTTAGGGTTTGGGGTTTCAGGGTTTAGGGTTTGTCTTGAGGGTTTGGGGTTTCTAGGGGTTTAAGGCCTTAGGGTTCGGGGTTTAAGGGTTTTGGGTTTTGGTGTTCAAAGTTTTTCTAGGCAGAGAGCTTTGGGTGTAGGATTTACGGGCTATAGAGTTTGGGGATAAAGGTTTGCCTTCAGCTGCGCGGCACATTCGATAGATGTGGGTAGGTTGAATGGGTATGTCGAGGAGGTATGCCCGTTTTGTACGCTTGTGCTATGAAATCGGGGATTGCATGTGCTGGAAATTGCTTAGCCAGTCAGTTTCTGAACATATTAGGTTTGTCGTGTAGTTAGAATGTTCTTGCTCGTTATGTTTGTTCTTATTTAAGTGCTCTGGATTTTCAGAAGAAACTTCATCCATATTTGTTGCTCAATGTCTATTTTTGTTTCAAGGCTCAAAATCGTGTGCAAGTTTCACATGAAAAGGTACAATGTTCAATCTGAATGATGCTATTTCATTCCACATGAAGGGTATCTTCCTCAAAATTAGGCACGC